TCTGAAAATGCCGGCAATACATGGGAACACATTAAGAGACAGAATAAGAAACGAAGCCAGAAGACGCGAAAGTATCATTGGAAACATAACATACCTAGTGGATTAGAAACCAGAAGACAATGTTAAACATGCGCCTGGAAGAAAAAGAAGACCCTCCAAGCGATACCCTTTTGAGCATTGAGAAATTTGATCACATCTATGAAGATAGGTGATCATAATTTGAAGCTAATAAAATGAATCACACTAATCAGGTTTGTAGAAACAGCGTTAATGTTAGACGTAGAACTGTAACAAATTATCCTCGTTTTTGAGCATACCATCCACTGCTTCACAATATATGGGCTTTGATGTTACCATATTTGCATACTTACTGATTGTTGACGTCACCGCTTCAAACCTCGTTAATATAAATGCTAATATACCAAGTGCACCGTAGTCCATTAATAGGGCTTATATGGCTATTGATCATCTCACTAATCTACTGAAAATAGATATACGTACAGTTGTACACATTAGGCACCGAGCCGTTTAATTTCAGATTTAGAACGCATTTCGGGGTGCCTGTTCAAATAAATAATCTGTTGAGCATGTCAAGTTGCGTCTATTATTATATCTAGGCGCTGAAATACATAAATATAATAACTCATTCTTTCAACGGTTGAGTGAAATTCAGCGCACTAGAGACCTACATATCGTCATAGTTTTGACGCAGCTTTTAGTTGATTGATGATCTTCTATGGCGAGAAAAGACCAAGCCGCACTTGTGTAAGTGATCGCTAGTGTAATAACCACCTTGTATAGCCTAACTTTGTTGATCAAACTCAATTTTGATGTTCTACATAGCATAGGGTAGAGTTGCCGGAACGAGATTTGGAATTTAATTCTTAACGGTTCAGTGTGCTTCTTCCAGGACATCCCCTTGTCAAGAGTGACACAGAGAACTTTCTCATGGTACCCGAGCTCCATACACTGATATCTCAGACGGGGCACCGCTACGATTTTTAGTACAATAGATCGCCTGCGTTTTCGAATGATTAATTTTGATCCTCCACCGATTCGGCCATTCCAATACCTCGTCCACTGCACTGCACTGTCGTGAACTAGATTCCCAGAATACGACTGGGCTACCAGGGCAGTGTGATCAGCATTTAGATAGATTTCGAAGCTGGTGGGGCAAGGGACGTCATGATTAAAAAGTGAATAAAGGACTGGTCCAAGAACCGAACCCTGAGGGACACCGGTTTTGATGGGCCGTGTTGTCGACAGAACGTCGATTTTGATCTGAAATTTCCTACACTCAAGGAAAGATTTCAAAAGTTTTAGGAGTTAGAAGAGGAAGCCCTTATGAATCAATTTGTAGAGGCCTTTGTGCCACAGCTTTTCAAATGCCTTTGAGACATCCAGAAGCAAGATGCCAGTACTTTCGTACTATGCTCAGACCGAAAGCCGAATTGCACGTCAGTGAGCTTAGAAGCATCTGCCAGTAGACTAATGGGGCGATAATCCTCGGAGAATGTCGAACCCACCTTCGTTGGAATCATTATAACATCAGCGGTCTTCCACGCCGCTGGAAAGTGCTGGGTCCTTAGCATGGCATTGATTATTGCCACGAGATAAGTTAAGGACTTCCGTGAAAGCAACTTTAGCGCCTTATTAGTGATTCGATCCTCTCCAGGTGCTTTACGCACCTTGAGGTCTTTAATATAACCCCGAAGCTGTGCTGGTGTGTAATGCTGACATGCCACACAGCTCTTCCGTTGACAAGACCTCTCCGCTTGCTTAAATTTCCTGACGAATGTCTGCAGAGAGAAGTTGACTGATGGTCGCAACCGATTCAGGCTAGGTAGAAGGAGTCAGCCTAAGATTTGTTTGTCAAGTTACACTCATGGTCTGTGGTAAGCCTTTTTTGACAGCTCTGTCATTAAATTCGTATATTTAATATCATGGCTATATTTCAAATCAAGTATGAACCAAACGTATAGTTCATACTTGATATACATGTTATCGATACGGCTTGAGTCTTCACTGTTCATGACGGTCAAAAATTTACCTTGTCACCCCAGTGTCTCAGAAGGAAGGTTATGTTCTTCGCGAGTAGGTAAATGAATGTATGAGTGTGGATCAAGAAATCTATTTCAAGGGCTACAGTCCGAAGGACTTGTTACATATATCATAAGGTATCTCAAAAGTACTCTTGAGAGAGACACTGGATATACGGAAATTAAAAAAAAGTAAAAGTGTGGATTATAATCGAAAATTACGACTTCGAAATTCTTATTCCGCGGGCTACAGCTTAAACGGCTTGACGGCTTCGAACACAAGAGAAGTGGGAATGTCAATTTTTTTTAAAATATACAATGGCGGATTTTAAACAAAAACTTTTATATCACGGGAAGGGTATTACGTATTTTTAAAAGTGACATTATGTGTATTTTTTGACATTATATTTTTTTCTTGTGACATTATGTGTTTTCTACAAGATGCTAACTTAGCACTGGCTGATGGACACGTTGTGAACTCGTTTTGTACGTGTTGCATAAACGTCACGAGGCTTCAGTTATCATTGTTTGGCTCTGATGTGCACAAAAAAAAACGTAAAAAATTGTAATTTATAACTTTGAACATAATCTGTCTTCTGAAAGGACAACATATAAGTAACCCGTCAGGCACAGCTAATAGATATACTTCATTGGCAGCATATGCAGTAATGATTTTTTCACACAGCAAATATAACGGATTTTATACAAATGCAGACCAATACACTCAATCATCCAGATGCGATCTTGCTATTCAACCAACCTTCTTCTCAGAGATAGTACTCGGCCTCACAAGACATATGCAACCAACAATGCGTGCGGTGGTGTAGTTGAGTCATTCCTCCATAGATGGGCGCTAACAATGATCCTAGTGAGCAAACGTGGAATGACTGTTTGCACCCTAAAAAACACCTAGTCTGATATTTTCTAGTTTATTTGTTGACGTTTTATAGGTTTTTCATATAATACCCATGCGGGTTACAGTCCAAACGGTCTGCTGGACTTTAATATTTCATATGTGATTGGATTGGTATTGATAGCACAATTAAATCAATTAATTACTGCTGTCTGGTTGTTTGTAACTTTACCTGACTGTTTCAGAAGGAGGGCTATAATTTTCACACATATAAATAGACAAAAATTCTCTTTTACGGTTAAAACGGCTTAATGAATTTTGAAATTTGAGATAGATTCGTCCTAAAAGCACAACAAAATCTTCATTGTTTCGGTTGCAGCAGTCGGGTTGTTGTAACTATATTTAAAAAATGTACTTTATTCAAATAGAGGTCAGAATATTGAAGTATCCATCAGCATTCAAAACTGAAGAAAAATAACGGCGATTAACTACTCGAGTCTTTTTTTCTTACAGCTCACGGACGGTTGAGTATTACATATTCCAATCGGCACATTTCATAACCTTTAATGTCAATTCTAACATCCTTAACCCCTTCACATCCAGGTGCAATTTAAAAAACCACTTTCACATACCAGACGAAAAAAAAATCGAAAATGAAATATTAAGATTACATAATGACATACATCTTTAACCACAGTTAAAATATTTCATGAAAGTCCAAAACAACATGGCGACAGTGATTCATATTTTATGACTATACCAGTATATCCACCATTTGGATAATAGTGGCATACCATAATATCCATATTTGGATATCCATGTAAAAATAAATCAAAGTCACATTTTGTGAACATAAGTGCTTTATTCACATTTTTTACATAAAATAAACTAGTAGAACGTAACATTGGTAAACCGCTTAAAATATAAAGTTCATTTGTGGTATTCTTGAAAATGTTCCGGACAACAAAGCCCTGGCTTATTTGGACACTCAATGCAAATATTTCGTGTTAGTTTCCTTTGGTTGTGTTTTCGGCAAATAACGCAGATCTTTCGCAATGCCCGTTTTTTTCCATCTTCCTTTGGTAAATTAACCATAACGTGTTCTTTTTGTGTTTTTTTCGAAGTTGAAGGTTGATTATAACATGAAGAAGCATCCGTCATGCAGCGATATCCTTCACTGTATTTGTGCAAAATACCATTACAGCACAGTTTTATTTAGTCATACATCGAAATGTTTAAATCATCTTTAGCGTTACAGAATAAAACCTTAGAATTTAGAAGCATCTGAAGCATTAATTGAAAGCCCACTTTTGTAAACCAAGTATAGCTTTTTCGTAAAGAATTGTAAGGTTCCAGATCTTGATCGACAGCGTCAACAGAGCCCATATTTTGATTATAAAATTCAATGTGGGCAGGTTTTTTAAAATGCACTTGTTTACCGCCTACCATATAGCGAGATTTTTCAAAAAACCCTGCACTATGCTTACTTGTCAACAAGTAAACATCCTTCTTGTCCTTATATCGTACAAGCAGTTGCATGTCTTTCCGTACGAAGCAGGATTGGTACCTTTCTAGTGGAATTCTAGTTAACTGAGCGGGAACTCCACGATTGCTTCTTATAGTTCCAGTCAAATAGGTTCCTTGGGTAAGTAAAAATTGCGAAAGCCGCACGGATGTATACCAATTGTCTAGAATAACTTCTCGGCCACTGTTCAGTATATTTTGAGCTAAATGCACGACAATTCTTTCAGAAACAGTGAGGTTTCCGGTGCCTGGAATATGGGATACATCGAAATTGTCTTTCCCTACGTACAAACAAAAGTTCCAAGTATATCCGCGCAAATGTGGAGCGCTTGGGCACATTGCAAAAAGTTTTATGCCAAATCGATTTCTTTTTGTTTTAATATATTGACGAAAGTGCAATCTGCCTTTATAATGCATCAAATGTTCATCTATTGCAAACACTGGTCCAGGGTCAACCAACGTCTTGCAGTTGTCTTTGAGCATGGACATATAAATTCCAAGTCGGCTTAGAGGGGCATTGTTTCTTGCTGCTTCGGGTGGCGAAAGCCGAATCAACTTGAGTATAGAAAGATACCTGTTTCGACTCATAATAGACTAACTTTTGGACCAGCGCACAAAATATTATTACTCCGGTAATCTGTTATGCGAGGGCACTTTACTAATCCAGTAAGAATATGAAGCGCGATGAAAACGTACATCTCTTCTTTTTCTAGTTTCTTCCACTGAACGCCATAAACTGTCCTTGTATTTGTATTTTGTTCAAAGTACATTTCAGCTCTTCTGTTCGTCCACTCACTTAATTTCGCTACGATATTTGGGCTTAAAAAACATTCGAAACAATTGACTGGATCTCTGCACTCTTCCATATCAATGGCGGGGTGAAAAGTATATTCAGAAGAAAAATTTTGCGTAGCTCTAGGAACCTGATCGAAAAAAGGATCACTTAAAACTTGCCATTCGTCCATGGTCACGTTTTCGACAAGTTCATCGTCATCGGTCCCCGAATATGTTTCGTCAGAGTCACTCATATCCGAATTATCACTTAACTCATACTCCGAATCGTCATCACTATCTGTATAATAGTCCTGGACATTCATTTTTGATAAATAAAACTTTTACATCCAAACAACACTGAGAAACACGATAAAACAGACTTTCCCGCCAAAACGTAATTTAGAGGCATACACGACCGCGTACCAGCGTGACTACTTATGTACTAACAGTAAAAATATTTCTGTGGAAATATTTTGGATATTGAAGAAATTTGGGTGGGGATGGCTTGTATGCCATACCAGTCGGTCTAATTGATAGCAGCTCGCCATACCAGTTCCCTGCTCCATAACATAAGCCATTAACAATGATATCCATATGTGGATATTATGGTATCCAGAGAGCATATTCAAAATATCCATATGTGGAGTACTGGATGTGAAGGGGTTAACCACATGTTCCTCACGAATATATTGTGATGGAATCTTCTCCTGTCTTTATCAGGGTAGGTGCGATTGACATCTAATTAATGTGAACTATTGTGTACGGACCATTGGTAGATGAAGTGTGCAGCGTTTGGATCCAAGCCTAAGAAGTCGGAAACGCTTCAGAGGAGTCAAGCGCCCTCTCAAGGTAAGTGAGAAAATTAGGGACCCTCAGAGTATGGAATACAACTTCAACAAGTAAAGACGAGGAGGTGAGTAATGAATTCAACGTATTTTCGCGTATATTGAATCAAAATGGAGGGCATATCGTCGCTCTCCTTTAGGTGGCAATGACACCCTGAGGATTGAGCTAATTTAAATCCAATGAATTGTCCAACCAAATGATATTTCGTAGTTAGATCAAGAAAGTTCTTGGAAAAAATGTTATTCCTCATTTAAGGTTTTCTAATATCCCCCTCAATGTGTGGAGATCCGAGGCAATACAAGGAGGTCCAACGTTCAGAGATAATCGGGGTGTTTAGCAAATGTTGATTTGAACGTAATATTCTGAGTTTCTCCACAATTTTCTACGAAAGAGAAGCAGCAAAACTTGTTTTCCTAACGCAATGCGAAAGGCTTTAGCGGCCATCATCCAATATTATTTGGTTGGTTTTTGGGTTGCTAGGCCGTCGTAAAACAGTTTTACTTGACGTTTCGCCAACACGAGTGGTTGGCATCTTTAGAAGATATTCACAGTTTGGAGTCGTCTTGGCGAAACGTCAATTAAAAATGCTTCACGACGGCCTAACAACTCAAAAACCAACCAAATAATATTGACTTCCTAAGTTGAGACGTAAAATCTCGAGCCAAAGCTGTCACGTAACCAAGCGGCGCTACTTTTTATATGTAAGTCAGGTATGTATCAGGAGTGAGAAAAGTAAGATTTGCTACCTGACGTCGATAGTTTGGCATAAAATGTTCTGACCGCAGAATGAAAATTAATCCCATTAGCGGTAAATACAAAGGATTCGGATGAGTTCTCCTTCGATATACGAAAATACGAGCAACAAAACGAGATAAAGTGCACCGTTCTTGGGAAATAGACGTGAACATCTTCCAGCTATTTAAAATGCAATTTTATCGAGGCAGACGACATCTTATACCATACAAGGATATTCGAGGGTACCAATTATTCCGTGGAGCTATAAATAGATGAGAGGAAATGCAAGGAAATCTGACGATTTTCAAAGAATAATAGAAGGTGGAAGCTATTTTTTGCTTGAATTTGTTCCTGCTTATACGAGAGCATTGGTAGTGATCTTGAAAAGTTTTTAATAGTCTGCTGTATAATAAAAAGCTGCACCTCTGACCCAGAGTACGTTAAGCCCAAATAAGTAGTGAGATAATTGCGTTTGAAATATTGTTTTTCTATTATGTAGATGCCAGTCCACACGATTTATAAAGTCGCAACTTCCTAATTGTTACAGGTAGGTGAACGCTGCACGTAGCAAATGAAAATTCGCAAAATATTATCATCAACTTAACATACAATACTCATTTTAGATAAAAATAATCTTGACCCAGTCTGGCCCTGCGGTACATATTCCTGATCTAAAGGCCGTATCGTCAGTCGTTCATACAATTGTAGGCCTCGTTGATTTTTATGATTTTTCCTGTCCTTCAGAAAGGCGCTCTATTTTGAGGTTATGTTACAATCATCTATTTGAATCAAATTGTTTATGTTTTCGATTTTTATCATCTGCTTTATCAGCCTGAAATCTCCTATCATTTATTTAAAAAAAACCATAACTAGGAGAGCGCTGACGCTGACACGGGACACTGGAAATCTAGAAATACCTCAGCCTCTATGAAGGAGAGAAAAGGCAATGAAAATCAAGGAGGCCATAAAAGCATCCTACAATAAATTGTAGGAACGACTGACGATACGGTCCTAAGACTACCACTACTAATTTACTTTTTTTTCACAATTTTCGTTAAAATAATCCAAATATTTTTCCGTTAGAATCGTCACTGAACAAAGAAAAGATGGCAGCCGAAGTAAGCCAGCCACGGAATTTTAATAATAGTTTGAATACTTCCGCTGAAAATCTCGAGCTATAAGGATAAATCTGGAGCTCCAACAAACCACCACTTTCGAGTTAAAAAGGATAGTCGGCCTTTAATAATAAGTAGACAAAGGGTAGGGATATTAAGGACTTTAACTCCGCGCCGCTCTGACAGTCTGCTGGGGATTTTTCTTTTTAAATTTAGTGCTTTTGTTGGAGGCGTTTATGTATTTACCCTAATCTGGTCTTTTTTACGAACATGGAACCGGAAGTGGCAAAGCCTCAGCTTCTGACAAGTGTGCTTTAATTTTATGTAACGTTTCAAATTATCCTCAGTCAACGTAAGGGTCCTTGGCTCATTGTTTTGACATAATTGTTTAGTTAAGTGCTTCAGGGAGATAAAAGAAAAAAAAGAAGAAGAAAAAAATGACATAATAAGTAGTGCTTGGAATTGGATGCAGAATACTCAAAATAAGCCTCAGCGATATAACTATGGATAAAACATAGTCCCTATTTATGTGCATTTGCTAAAGGTTAGCGAGTCGGACAGTTGTCCAAAAAAGAAATGGAAATTTAAAGCTTACACCATATTTCCGATCTGAAAGACATTCAATAGTTTCGAACGTGCTAAGGGACAAACGTTGTTTACTTTCTACGCCACTGGTCAAGAAAGTGTTAGGCATATTTCACACATCATAGATTTACACGTACATTTGCCTTAAAAACAGAATGATAGATACAAGGTTTCGATCCGCGCACCTGCCTATCAAAGCGCACCGCCTGGCGAACCAGTCTAGCTAATATACGGATCTTGCACGAAACAAAACCGAAATAGTTAATTCGTTGTAGCGATGCCGCGCAGATGTGGAAAGAGACAACGTTGCCACATGGTCAGTAACTACGAGAAAGACAGGGAAAGAGTGCTTGTCGACTAATTGTTGACAGACTTAATACGTTTAATTTCTCTGTTGTACATGACCGTAACTCAATTTTTTCTCATAGGATTTAAATTGCATTAAAGTTGATCCATGTATATTTTCATCTAAGACCGGCTTTTAAACAATACCTTGACCGTACTCCTATATAGACGGTATTTGAAAATAAACAAAAAAGCACAGATCTCGTCATAGTCATATTGTGCTGAACATATAATTATTTTCACGGTTTTTGGTGGTTACGTTATAATATAATACTGTAAGTGCCGATTTCACCAACATTAATATTATGGACCAACGGGAAAATACCTTATCGAAATGCAATTTGACAGAAGCTGTCGAAGGTCTGAGAATATCAGTGATTACTATTAAAATATTGAATAAAATCGTGAAAATTCGACTGCATTATAAACAAGACCACTTCTTGATTCCAACATGATGCTTTTGTTCAGAGAAAACAGGTCAACTTTCATGTATTTTGATTTGTGTTGTAAATATACACTTAACAATCAGTTATCCCGAAAAGCCAATGGAATGCGGCAAATAATAGGTCGATTTTCTAGCTGTTAAATTTGGCAGCAGATTTGGACGTTTGTTAACGCCTGGCAATCTCGAATTTAAGTTCAATATACTGTTATCATTGCATACCTGTTGAATAGTGTGGATTTGTCTGTATTTTGCAAGAAAATAGAATATAAAATACATTCCATCCAATTCCTCATCTTCCTTTACATCATAATAGTAATCATTTATTAATTTACGGGTTAATGAATTTCTTTAAAGCAATAAAAAATTGTGAAAAATGTCTCGCAAATAATCTCTTTTAAGTCCAACAATCATAAAAACTATTAATTTTATTGTTTGATTGCCTTTTTCACTGGTGGGGTTATCTATCTGTCACTCGCAGGGTTGCCAAGTCTGAGGACGATCACGTCCCGTGATGAAGGGTGTGACATGAATCTTTTACATTTGCTGGTTTTGAATTTAAAGTAGGAATACAAACATAGTACTTATGATAGTTGGAGCTAGATTGATAACACTTGTTGAAGAATATTTGAAAAATGTGAACACCGTCATGGTCTGTTGTCAAATTGCAAATGAAGTATCTGAAAATTCTTACATACAGTAGACCTTCGTCATAGTTTACTATCCTGATTATGATCATTTTTAGCAGATGTGTTGTATCATCAAATTGATGAACAAATATAAGAAAGCTCTTATATACCTACATACAGAGGATTTTTCATGTACATTTACTAGGTATCATCTTTGGTGGATATATTTTTGGTATGATCTAACCGTTGCAATCAGTGCACAAAAACTGTGATATATGATTTATAGCATAACCCGCTGCCCTATCAACACAAATTTAACATACAGGTCGCCTAGCGGTGGGGATATAGTGGTCGGGATGAATATCACGGCAGCAACTTATGATTTGCGCATGTCTGGTAACAACGTATGAAGCTAAACTCGCTAACTTCACAAATTTGAAGATTTTGTATAATTTCTTTGAAAATGATGAAAGATATGTCTGATTTGGCAGGGTAATGTCGCAGCCAAATGGCAGTCACTCTTTCTGACACAGTCCGGATCGAAAGATGACGATACTCATGGAATGTATTGATACTTCTAAATATAGGATCCTGTCGAACAACCTTACTGTCAAGATGTATAACCC